AGGAGTGAGTACATGTGTGAGGGAGGGTGTGAAGAATGTTCCAGAAAGAGGGGATAGCACATAGAACTGAAGTATAGCAATAATGAGGGAAGAGTGGTACAAGTTAAGGTTTAGAGATCCAGGCAGGTCTCAGCCCATATGGGCCCCTGTAGGGTTATCTAAAAATTTGGTTCCTATCCTAAGAGCAATGGGAAGTCACTGAAGGGTTCTGAGTGGGAGATGGCATAATCAGACTGGCAGTTTGAAAAGATCACTCTTGATGCAGTACAGAGAATATATTGGAAAGGGCATGGGGGGTTGAGGGGATGACCAGTTACAAGACTGTTAAAGCATTCTGCATGAGAGATGATTGTAGGTTCAGCTACGGAGGTAGCAGTAAATACGAAAAAAGTGGTTTGATTTGAGAGATATTTAGAAGGTAAAGGGGTGAAAGATCATATCTAGGGCTTGAGGAAGATAGGTGTAAGGATGACACTGAGGAGAAGGGTCACAGGAATGAGGATATCTTACTTTGAACACACAGAAACACAACTTCCCCTGGATTCTGCTCGCCTTCTATCCTTTCTTATATGGACCCCAGACCTCATCACCAGACTCGAAATCTCTGGATCATCCAAGACTCTCTTTCAACCTTGCACCCAATCCTGACTACTTGTCCCTCCCCTCGTCACCTTTCATCTAGATTAGTATTTCTAAAAGTATCGCCCCAGAGGGTCCTGGTGGGAGACTACAAAATGGTCCAAAACACAAGTCTTTTCTTTGGCTTTTACAGGAGAACGATGCAAAATTCCAGACTTTGATTTTTTTTATGGTAACCAACTGAGTTATAAAGGGGTACTAAAATTTGTTAGTCATAAACTAAAATTAGCTTTTAACTGGAGTTGACAGAAGACTCTAATTCGGTTTTCTACTAAGAAGTCTGGCTGCCAGGCAATGTTTGGCAACGCTGCAAAGCTCCTCCTGCACATGTATACATGCAGACAGTTGGCATTCTCACAATTTTCAGGAAGGACACTTTGTTATTGGGGCATCACCAGTGATGTTTTGAACTGGTCATGGTTTATGGCCCCTGACATTAATGAATTTTAATTACAAATTATGATTCATGGAGCTCCACCATGACCAATTTAATATTCCATGGGTTATTTGATTAACTCTATGGGATAGAGGGATGCACCTCTCTGACCTTATCTCTTGCCACTTACCCCCTCCCTTTCTTGCTGATCCAGAACACGTGTAGCAGGTTCCCATCTCAGGGACTTTATACTTGCTATGCCATCTGTCTAGTATCCTTCCCCCCCCCCCAGATATTATATAGCCAGCTCTTTCATTTTCTTCAGGTCTTTGCTCAAATGTCAGGTCTGTGAGGCCCTCCCTGACTACCCTATTTAAATTATTAACATAATCTTCTGGTTGCCTGAACTTTGTAGTCCACTTTTTCTCCTTGGCACCTATTACCATCTGATATATTATATATTTTATTTATTTGTTCATTGACAATTTACTTCCAACTAAAAGATAAGCTCCATGAAAGCAGGGATTTTTGTTTGTTGTATTTGTTTTGTTTCTTGTTATCTCACCAATAGCTAGAACAGTACCTGGTCTAAAGTAGGTACAATAAATAATTATTAAATAAATGTTCACATCATCAGTATTTTTTACCTTTTAGTCTCCAACACCCAGCTCTTAAGGCATGGATCCATGTAGTTCAAATTTGAATCATTCACAGCCATAGTGTCAAAGCAGATATATAAACATGAACCCAGAATATCATGCTTATACAGTGACATTTCCTTGTTATCACTCCCCACTAGACTCCCCATCCAGGTTCACCCCTTCCTGTCTTCCAAACACACTCAGATGAAAATTTCCAAAGAACAGCTCAGGGCAATCAGAATTCATATTCAACTCATTTCCCTAGAACTTAATATATTCCAGGTATTGTGCTAGGTACAGGGGAATCAAAAATGACCAAGTCAGACATGATCCTTCCCATAACAGAGTTTATAGTCTAGTGGAGATATCACCCTATTCTGCCACCAGAAAAAAGACTTAACCCCTTATAGGAGAATGTGAAGGTCAAGCTGAGACTTTAAGAATGAATAGGAGATGAAAGAGATTTGTGGCTAGGTAGAGTAGAACAGCTGGCAGCAGACAGAAAAGATTGTACCAGGCAGGCAGAGAAAACAGCACTTTCAAAGGCCTAGAGGAAAAAGAGAGTGTGGATATCACTTCCCAGGAAGTGAGGGAAGTTCAGTTTGCTGGAAATGTAGAATTTTCACAGAGCAATGGTGAGATCTGAAGCAGGATGGGTAGCAAAGGCCAGACCATGCAGGGCCTTGCAGGCCATATCAAGCAAATTGGACATTGGGGACTTTATCCTGAGAGTAACAGGGAGCCACTAAAAGGTCTGATCAGTGCAGTGACATGAACAAATGGAGTTTAAGCTCCTCTCTATCCCCCAAGAAACCTGACCTTCCCTCACCACTATAGGCCTCTAAGTCCTACCTGCCTCCTCCCCGAAACCTTACTGCTGCTCTAACCTGCATGCCTCTCTCCCTTTCATCCCCAGGGACCCCATCCTCCCTTACTTTTGTATGCCTGTGTTCTGTCTTCCCCATTGAACTGAGCTCACAGAGGACAGGGACAACTTCTCAAACATCTCTATGTTTCTCATACCCAATTAGCGCTGACCCAAATTGGGCTTCACTGAGACAAGAGGATAATGAATACACTCTAGCACAAATCAGCCTTTTCTCAGACCCCAGACGCCAATATTTACTGTACTAAAACAACCCTTCCCTCCAGGGGGCAGTGCTGATGTGTTCAGAGCCAGATGACCCAGGTTTCTCTGCTTCCTGTCTGCTGTCACCTCTCTGCTCTCAGTGTAATTAGTCTCCAGTGTTTCTCCTAATGGACTAAAGAAACTCATCCCCAAGCCTGTTCAAGCTGCAAGTTGCTAGAAAAGACAAATCTAATCTACAGTGACAGAAAACAGACCAATGATAACCTGGGGTAGGCGGGGGGGGGGGGCAGTAGGGAGAGCTGACTGGAATAAGGCACAGGGAACTTCTTGAGATAAAGTATCCTATATCTTGATTGTGGTGGTGGCTCACAAGTACGTAAATTTGTCAAAACTTGTCAACATGTACAACTAAAATGTTACATTTTATTTTATGTAAACCAGACTTCAATAATGTTGATTTAAAAACAAACTGCCTGTAAATTAAGTGTCAGTGGTCCCAAACACAGTACATGAACTTCAAAACACAGCTCAACCCCAACATAAAACTAAGGCATGGCCATACAGGAATATAAGTCTCCCCATGGCTGTAGAGATCTAAGAAAGATAGGTCCATCTGCTATAGAAGGCCAAGTGAAAGAATCAGAGGAGCAAAGGCTGATGTGCAGGAGGCCAGACCAAAATATGTAAAGTCATAAATAGCATGGACACAGATTTGCTCTCCAGGCCTCAATATACCTAGGCTTGATTTACGTAAATTTAGAATAAATAAATAGAAGTCCTGCTTTACAGAGTTAGGAACTGCACATTAGCCACAGAGTGGTAATTCGTTAATGGTTTGGAAAAAGTTATTCCTGGAAGACTAAGTGGCTTCACCACAGAGAGCTCCTGGAGAAGCTGGGACTACCTTACCTTCCATGGTGATGCTGAGGAGAAAAGTAGAACTCTGGGCTCAGTGGGTTAAAGGAGGTGACTCTTGGGGTTTTTTGTGAGAAGGGATGACATCTGGCCAGGTGGCAACAAGGACATAATGTTCACATGGCTGAATGAGTCACAGGAGTGGACCAATGGCTCACAGGGAAGAGAGACATATGAGGTTGCAGAAATAGTTGGGGGCCAGTGTTTGTGTTGTGCAGTGGGGGTGGGGGGCAGGGATGGGAAAAGAATCTCTCTCCTCTTCCTCTTTGCCTGACCTCTCTCTTCACAAGTCTCCCAGCATAGAAAATCTGAACCAAATTTCTGCACATAATCTGTTCTGTGTCTCCTGTACAGTTCTCTTGCACCCCCTCTGTGGGCTCCCAAAAGGCAAGGCCTGGGTCCCCACCCAGCCCAGCTTTGGGCACACTGAAAAGGGTTGGACAAATAACTCCTTAGGACAAGAACGTGAGGGCAATGAGGGACAGACTGGCGGGAGTGAGCCTGGGGGCGTTAAGCAGGATGGACTGGTCAGGACGAGTCTGTGGAGCGGGTGGAGCGAGGGGATGGGAATGGTGAGAGAAAGACAAGTAGGAAAGAGGTAAGAAACAGCGGGTTAGGGGTAATATGGGAGATGAAGCCAGGATCAGTGGGAGAGAGCAGTTCAGAGTCACAGGTCAGTGGGCACACAGGCCAGAGGTCACAAGGGAGAGGTTAGGGGTCAACAGAAAAAAGACCAAGGATCAGTAGGAGAGGCATGGTCAATGGTCATTGGCGGCGAAAGTCAGAGGTCATCGGGAGAGGGCAGGTGTGGCTGTGCGTTACCTGCCTACGAGACGGTTTATGAGGAACCTTCGCAGAAGCAGGAAGCATCTCAACCCCTGGAGAGCCTACAAAACGCCCCTTCGCCTGAGGACAAGAAGTTTGTCCGCCTGCTCGACCACGCACAGGAAATTTGAACTCTCTTCCACTTCAATTCCCAGTCGCAGGGGTTCTTTGGGGACAGCTGTCGTTGTGGGTCCTTGTGCCCTTGCAGGATAGAATCGACTCCTCCCTGACGCGGTTACCCAGCAACCGACCAGCAGCCCAGGCGCAGGCGCCTCCGGCGCCCCCAGTCGGCCTGGCGAGGAGGCGGGGCTGGGAGCGCGGGGAGCCTCAATCTCCACTAAGCCCCGCCCGTCAGGATAATGAGACCGGCGGCCGCGCGTATTCGTAACTCCTGCTTGTGGGAAGGGCTGGGGTGCCCAGGCACCGCCTTCTCATGAATAATGCAGGACCCGGGCGGTGTCCCGGACCCGGAAGTGGAGTTGCCGAGTCACCGCAGTGGCTGAGCTGCTGACAGGAGGCGGCGGCGGAGTAGGAGGCGAGGCGAGACCTGCGGCTCGGCCAGGCCACAGCCGCGGTAGCGCTAGGGAAGTCCACGGAGCCACGCCGCCCTCAACCACCCTGCGAACCTCTCGCCCTCCGCCCACTCCTCCGTCCGCCCGGCCGCCTGCCCGGCCGCCAGGTCCGGGGCGGCCTAGTCTGCATCACCCGCCGGGCTCCTGGGGCCGCCGCCCCGCGCGGTCCCGTTGGCGTCCCTAGCCGCGCCCGGCCCCTGGCCCACTCGCCCGCCGGCACCATGATGGAAGAGATCGACCGGTTCCAGGTGCCCACCGCGCACTCGGAGATGCAGCCGCTGGTGAGGGGGCGGGCGGTGGGCAGGCCAGGGCCTGGAAGGGGCGCCGCTTGAGGAGGAGGCAGGAAATCAGGCCGTGGGGATTATGCGGAGGGGACGCCATCGAATGGGGCAAACAGAGCTCTGAAAACCCATTGCTGGGTGAGGGGGACTTGCAGGACAAGAAAACCATGGGAAATACACAGGGTGAGAGCAAAGGGACCTTTAAGGGTGGAGGGCACCGTCGGCGGAGGCAGGGCGCCGTCGGATGGAAAGGTGAGAGGCACAATGGTGCACACCGCTAGTGGAAGCCCATAGCCCCGGCTATGGCAAGAGAACTATTATGGGGCACCTTCGGCAGCAGGCCCAGGGGGCCGGGATGCGAAGTGGGGGGGCGTTTAGCCCTAGAGGCCTGTGATGCTTAAGGCGGGGGAGCAGTCAGGCTAAGAGAGACTGGGAATAGGCTTTTAGAAAAGGAGGGGCCTGCCTGCCTGTCCGCTGGATATGGATAGGAACACCAGGCCAAGTCCAGGGACCTAGTGGGGGTAGGGGATCGGTGCAGGACCTGGGAATTCCATTCTTTTCCGGAGGGAGCGCAGGCATTCCAGGCTGTGGGTATCTGAACCTGGAAGGACAGTGCGAGGTGGAGAAACGGGTACAGATGAGAACGCTAGAGGAGGTGGGGCCGCTCTGGAGCCGCCTGTGCCTACCAGTTCGGAAGAGCCCCCATCATCCTAGGCCTACGTGCCTGGAGTCCTTTGCTGGGCGCGGATCGTGCCGCCTGTCCGCGGTCCCGGTGTCAGGGAGGAATGATGTCATCGCTGCCGGCGCGAAGGGGAGGGCGACGCGGGTTCACCGAGGCCAGGACTAAGGGAGAATATGCCCCCTGGCCACCTCCCGGGGGGCTACCTGACTTGTCTGCCTGGCGACGCGGGATGGGAGATGCGGAGGCCTAGACAGCTGGTATAGAGAGAGGGGGAAGGGAGGGAGCACCCAGGCTCTCTTTGCTTTCTCCCCTTGGAATCCAAGAGCAGGAATTGGAAGAAGGCTGGGCCGGTTAGGAACCTGAAAGTGTGGATGCTCTATTCTCTGAGCTCTGCTGGAGCCGAGCTCTCCAAGTTCTGAAGCTTTGGGGCTCCCTAAGTCTCCTGCCTCTGTGTTAGGTGGGGTGGCCAGGAACAGGTTCTACCCTTGGGCCCACAGCCCCTGGCTGACAGGTGTGCTTTGTGGCTTCCTGGACAAGTAACCTCCCCATTACAGCAGCCAAGATGGCAGAGACCCATCACCGCCTCTATTCCACACCTTTTGGGGAATGGTAGAGAGAATCATTAGTAGCCACCTAGTAGGAAATAAGAGGATTTTCCCCCTTTTGTGGACTACTTAGTTCTAGAAACCAAAACAAAGAAGCTTTACAGAAGTGTACAATATTAAACTGGAGAGAGAGATGCTGCAGGACTTTTTCTTAGCCTGATGCCATCATTGGGTTATCCCGGAGCCAGAAAATCCTGGAGAGAAGTCCATTCCATAAACTTAAAGAAGAACTTTGGGCTAGCTAAAGAGAACTTTCCTTTCTGAATTCTCTTTCCAGCCAACCTGTCTTGTCAAACTAGATTGCCTTTCCAGTTCTAATCATCTAATCAAGAACCAAAAAGAAGGGTGGATGAAGGAGGAGGAGAAGGAGGTTCAAGTGAGCCAGGAGAAGAAAGCTATGAGTTGGTTCTCATCTCCCATCTGAGGTTCCTGAGAAGGGAGGCAATAACTGTCCAAGAAAAAGAGAGAAGGATTAGGCCCACCAGGTTCTGTTAGTTGTCCTTGGTGCCTCTGTTATCACCTGAAGTTCTGAGTAGTGGTTTGGCTCGGTGGAGGACTCCCAAGCTGTTTCTGGTCTGTGTGGCCCTGGAGTAGAAGTACTGGTGGCAAGGAGGCACTTAGAAAAACTGTGGCTGCCTTCAGACCTTTTTCTGGAGGGCTAAAGTAACCCCTGTCTGCAAGAGAATACTTTGTTCAGGTTGAGTAAGAGCCTTATGGAAATAGCAAAATAGTCATCCCCCATTTGGGGGACATAAACATTGCTCTGCTTCTGACCTCTGTCCCCAGGTTGTAGTCTAGAGGCACTCTAAAACTCCTTAAATTACCTGTTTGTTGTTGAGACCAGTAGAATCTTATGTGGTATTTCCCTAGGAACCTTCACTTTGGGGCATAAGGAGTCAAGATAGCATACCATGGGGGTAAAGGGCAGAAGAGAGGGCAAAATGGCTCTTTGTGAGTATTTGGGTAGATCATAAAAATTAGAATCCCAGGCTTAGATTCAGCTGTGACCTGTTTCATTTTTGCCATTATTAATTGAGACCTCTAAGTCTCTCCTCTTCCCTAGACCGTTTTCTCATTTATGAAGACAAATTATTTAAAGTTTAAACAATAGATCCCCCTCCCCATTCCAAAGACTATCCTAGAGACCTGATGCCATTGATTTGGCAGATTGATTCACCAAATTATTGAGCATCTGCTCTATTCCAGTTACTATACTAAGTATTAGGGACACAGTGATTAGCAACACAGACACAGATGTGGTCCTGCCCTCCTGGAGCTCACAGTTCATAAAAAGTTTATTTCTTTACTCCTTCAATGTGAGTCCCCTTGAGGGCAGAGCAGAGGCTGCCTCCTTAAGTCCCAAGGGAGTAGGTAAATGTTAGTGCTAGCATCATTGCCCCTTTCTGGACCAAGCTGTATGGATAGAGAGGCCTGTTACATGGGCTCCATAATGAGATAACTCTCTCCAACCCATAGTAGTGGGAAGGATCTAGAGGCGTTCCTTATTTAGAAAGATAAATTCTAGGGGAAGCACATCTTTTTTTTTTTACTTGAAAGAGAAACTGAAGCTTGGAAAGGAGGCCTGGGGGAGTGGCAGGAGCTGGGAGAGAAGGCACAGCCAGCAGATCTGGGTGTTTCCAAGGTGCTAATTTAAGCATTATTTCTCAGCTAGTGGGAGGAAGAGGAAGAGATCTCTGCCATGTTATTGCTGCTGCTGTTGTCACAGCTGCATGGAGCCTCCCGTCTGGGGTGGGAGTTTGCCTAAAGGGAACAGCTTCTCTCCTTTCCCTATCACACCAATTATTTAATTGGCCTGGCTGCATCTCAGCAGCTGAACCAGGCCTGGGCCTATCCCTGAGAGCTCCCCAGGGTCTCTTGCTGTCTCCTTATGAAAGGAATGAGAGCTCCTCTTAGAGACCTATCCACTGGGCTCCATTTCTGCTGTGTCTATCTCCCAGGCAATCCTGAGTGGTTTTGAGCACAGATACTCCCAAAGAAACTGCCAGGGATAGGCACACTTAGTGTGTCAGCTCTTTGTCCGAGCCATGCACCTCACTGATCTAAAGAAGCTCCCAACAGCCCAAGGCTTTCTTTTGAGCTGTTGGATCAAGTTTAGGCTGTTGTTTGTTTGGGTAACAGGGATAGGCTCTCTGGCCTTATTTTTTGCTCTGCTGGTTGGTGCAGCTGCACAGTCTATATCTTCTCTTTGGCAGCAATTGGAGAGGAAGAAATTTGTTGCAAGAAAAACAAATGGAGCTTTTAAGCACTTAATTGTGTCAGGCAACACCCTGCCTCCTGTGCTCTCAGAGGCCAAAGAGACTTAAAGAATGGCATATGGCACCAGACAGGGTCTCTGCACACTTGAGAGAAATGCTAGTCTGGCCTCACTGAAACCAGATTATCTGTTAACACTCTTTTAGTTCATGAGCATTAGCTATGTATCTACTCAGTTCCAGGTACTTTAAGGATACAGAAACAAGCAAGATCTCTCCAGCAGATGGCCAAGAGAAGGATGGGCTCACATGAGTATAGGAGGGTTTTTAGATACATATCAGAAAAGACTGGAGATAAATGGAGGGTGTTTCTGAGAAAGAGTGACACCTCCCTTGAGAGAAGGTGAAGAATGCCAAGGTTTTGGCCCTTTGACTACATGAGCTTGGAAAGGAGTTTCAGACTCTTACTGCCTCCTGTCATTCAGGGATGGGGATGGTCAGGACTGGACATTAATTCAGTAGGTGGGCCATAGTAGCTCCTGAAGGAGGCAGAGAGACCATTATAAAGATAGCAAGTAGACACTATAGAAAATTGACCTACGTGTATTCTATGGTCTAGGTACCTTAAATTGCCTCCTTGTAACCAGATGACTTTTCAATTTAAGGGTGGATTCTTATAGTAGGTCCATGTGGCTTGTAACCCAGCAGTATTTATCAGGCTCCTGGGGAGAGGCACACCTTTCCCTTCTCTCCCTTCCTGTATTGCAAACTGAGGATCAGGTTTGGCCAGGCCTTTAGCCCCTTATTACTCATCTCCTCATCTAACAAACACTGAGTAACAACCTACTCTCTGCTAGGTGTTGTGCTAGGTTCAACAACACAGAATCTTGCTCCAGGGACTTGCACAGTCTAGCACAGATGGAGGCATTATAGGATAGTGAACAATGCAAGAGAAGTAAAAACCAGGCCCAGTAGGACCAAAGGAAAGCAAGAAGGGCTCTTATGAAGTGATCAGGAAGGCTTCACAAAGGAGACATTGCTGAACTGGCCCTTGGAAGAGTACTAGAAGCTTGACAGACTGACAAGATGAGGTGAAGGCAAGAATTCCAGGCAAAGGGCACGGCAGAAGAAACTAAAGGGTGCATTTGGAATGAATGGAGTGTTGTAATTAAGGGACTAACATGATCAAATTTGAGTTTAAGTTATCATTCCAATGGTGGATGAGGGATTGGAGAAGATGAGATTGGAAGTTGGAAAACTGATACAGAGGTGGGTACTATAATCCAGCTAGGAGATAAAGGCCTGCACTAAAGCAGAAGCAGAGAGGAGGAGAGGACAGATACACAGATGCTAATAAGGTGGAATAGGCAGGATATAATGATACCTGTTTGGAGGTGGGATGGAGAGGTAGGCAGTTAAGGATGACCCCCAGGTTTGTGGCATGGACACCTGGATTGAGGAAGGGACTACTATCACTCAGGAAATTTAAGGGCCCATGTA